ATTTGTTGCGCAATCATTGTTCAGACAGTGGCCATTGACAGCAGCCAACTGGGCATCAGCTCGTTGCAAGTCTTGTGCCTTGCTAATTGGTTTATCATTACGCTCTTCGTCGATACGATTGGAACTTAAAATAAGTGAAATGGTTTAGTTGCTCTGTTTTTGGAGTAGAGTAAATCTTTGACATAGTTTCACTAACGCTCATTTTATTGAATTGATATTTATATGAAGAACTTTTGCAATGGGTTGAATGTGTATAGATCGCTTGCTTCGGTTGCAGCCGAAACTTTTGAATCGAGTAAAACTTAAGAAATAAGTAAGAAGAACTTAGTAAGAGTCTAAAACAAAGATTTTCAAATCCACTTACAATATTCCAACTCTGTGTTTCCAAATCCACTGACGAAGTTTTCGTAAACATTTCTGTAAACAATTTGAAACTCAAAATTCAAACTCTGTTTTGCTTTGATTGAAATTCTTTACAGGGTGCATTGAACTCCTTGTTATTTTACGTTTCAGCTGCCCTGTGATCTTGGCACGTTCTTGATCCTGTTGTGAGCCACCCTTGGCACCTTTTTCAGTTTTTTTTTCAAAGACCCAAACGAATGCCTCAATTTTAATTTATGGCCTTGCTTTTGCGTCGATCAAAATACAGCTGACGATTGAGGCCGCTCATTGTTCCATTGAAAATTTCCGGTTTCTCAGTCTGTCTATAATAAGTTTTTCCTGCGCAGCGGGTCCAAGGATCTGATATCCAGTTTAGTTTTCAACACGCACTCTCCATCACATACGTATGTGTATATATTACAACTTTTCCCATGCTCGTTTTCCGACATCGCAAAAGATTTATGACAAAAGCAATTTATATGCTAAGAACATTGATATCTCTTATGGGAGAGCTCGTAAAGTCAGGGCTTCCTAATGCCATCCGCTCAACAGCCCAAGCTTTGTTGTCCACGCCAATTACTAAACGACACTTGCTGCGGGACACAGCTTCTGATTCCGATTCAGATTCAAAGAGAGAGAGAAAGAGAACTCCATTGACATGGATAATATTTAACGAGTCGACAAAAGCACAACTCAATAAATGCAGCCCAAAGATACTTTATGGGCTACTTATCGCCAAAATGTATCTACGGAGGGTGCTGCTACGGGTACTGCTACGGCTAAGTGCTTTAATGTAATACTCTGCCTGTGTCAGAGGAAGGAGGAGGGGAATGGGGGTAGAAGAAGAGGGGGGGGGGGGGACGGAATTGTCGGTCATATGAGGGCAACACTTCCGAAGTGCTTTGGAGTCGTCTCGTCTGAACAGAATACTTCAATCAGCGGCAAGTATTCACAGCTGGAAGTTCTTTATTCGATTTCAGTGTTGAAAATTGTGCAATTAAATCTTTGATTGACTATTGAGAAAGGGTTAATCAATACGACTGGCCATGTATATATATACACATAATAATCGAATGTTTTTCACCCGCATGGAAAATTTGTTTCACAGCTGTGATTGCATTTCGGGTGTTAAATGTTAATCAAATTAGCCACAGTCGCAATCAGTGTACACATTATTATAATTATTCGTATTTGTTGTGATTGAAAAACCATTTTTCTTTATTGAAAACAAAATTGTTGGACAGCAGTTTCTATTTTCCTGCTGCACTTCCCCCCCTTCTGTAATTTGTTTTTATTGCAATTCGCATGTCTGTAGTTGATCATTTTATTGTTATTTAATCCTTTTTTAGTGCAACTAGTTATTCAGCTCGGCACAGCACGTTCCAGCTGGCCAGATGTTTGACTAACGCTCAAAATGCCTTGTTCGCAGGATTAGCATTAACCATTGATGTGGGTTGTACAGCGGGTTGTAGAGGGAGAGCTGTTCTTGTTGTTGCATGCAGCATGTGTGCTGATTTTTGCACTATTGTGGCATTTAATCCGTATTAATTTTCATTAAGTGCAATGGGGTCTATAAATGTTTGATAAATGGCTGCTGCTGGAAGCACCCACAACCGAACAACAAGCACGTGACCTGACAGGCAGCAACGTGACTATGAAAATCCTGTTCCCAGAAAACGGTTGCTGGCAAAGCTGAGCAGTCAATGAGCCAAAAAAAAACAATTAAATACAGCAAATTTTGTGTACCTTAAGATCACGACAAGCCCAACTCTTTCCGCAAAGTTTTCATTTGCATTGTCAACTTGTAAACTATTTTGTAACATACTTTTAGGTTCGCCCGAAAACTAAATTAGATGCAAGCATTTTGTTGCATACTTTCATGGGCAGTGTCTAGCTTAACATAACAGCGCCTTAACAGAAAAGTTTAAAATCAACAGTAATATTTTTGAGGCCTGCAGCAATTGTCTGTTTGTGTAAACAATCCAGAAACACAACTTTGTACAACAACAAAACCCATTAAATACAGAATAAACTATGCAGCAGAGTTAGACGACATTCTTATTCCTAGTTATTCCACGTTTGTTCTAAACCACATACTTTGCGAGAAGTTCGTGCTGTAAATGGAGGCTGATGTAATGCATATTATTAAATTGCATCAGCCTGCAAAGTTTGCAAAGTTCCAACTCGTCTCATCCTGTTGTCGCTCGGTTTTGTTTGCTGGGTGTCCCCCCACCAAGTGTGTTGTGCTTGTGTTGTGTTTTTGTATGCATTTGTTTTAATAAACTTTAGTGCCGCACTTCAGTTCGGGGGTTGTTGGAATTGTTTGCAGCTGGGAGGCAGACTTGACGCAACTGCAATTGCAAACAAGACACTGCCGTCCCTCAGTGGGGGATGTTTTGCAATACCACGCTGTGTATGACGAAAAAACAATGTCGGAAAACTGTTGGGTAAATGTCTTTTCGGTAGCTGATAAGAGATAAGTTTAATGAGATTCTGTCAATGTGGCATTGGTTGTAGTTCCTTATCTTTGTGTGTCGGAAGAGTCAACAATACATATATATATATAAATATATAGATATTTCTTAAATGACTTTCTCTAGTATAGAGCGGCTAAGCATAACAAATAAACTGAACTATAGCACTAATTGGTGTATTATTTATCTTAATTAGTGAACATTATCTACAGACAATAAAGTTAACAGAAACTTTATTTATTTACGCTTGCTAATTTTAGCTTGAAATATGGAATATTTGATGGGTCACTCCTTATAAGTGATATTTAAATTTATAGTTAAGGTAAATTCAATCAAGTATGAAAAATGAGGGAAAAAACAGACAATTGAGTCATTAGGGAATCAGTATTGTAATTTGAAATGCAGAACGTAATTTTTGTTTATTGAACTTGCTTAAATATTGAAATGTGAAAACTTGTACTTGACTGAATCACTTTAGATTCATATTCTATGCCAATATCATTTAAAATACACTGTATGTTGTATATAATAATTTATAATAATTTATGAAACTTTGCCTAGAATAGCAGGTTTTGATTTGCAAGTTGGAAACACCGCTGTAGCCGCAAGTTGTGACAGCCCCCCTTGGGTAAGCGACGCCCATGCGTAGACTTAGCTATAAGCAGCGGTAAACACTTCAGACACACAATGGCCCAGACTCGGAACAAACGTATATATCATTTACAATGAATTGTAGTTAGATTTGTAAATGGCAGGCGCCTTTCGCTTGCTCGCTGCTCGCTCGTGACTCTCGCTCGACAACAGGTGCAACAGCAGCCACCAGCAAGCAGCGCACGCCACCACCTGGAGGTCGAGACTGGGGTAGACCATTTGACCCCAACCCCCCGCCCCTCTCCCTTCAGCATCGCCTTACCCAGCGCCAACCCCGCTGGCCAAGAAATGTTTGCGTCTGGCATTGCCATTGGTTTTCCTATTTGAATTAGTAGTAGTTGATTAAAATTCATTAAATTTTAATTTATGCATAGTTTTGTGTGTGATTAAAGGCACCGAAACACGTCAATATAAATATAATGAAAATATATAAAATAAAAATAATAGTATAATCTAAATACTGTGGGCGTTGTCCCAAATGAAAGGCAACTGGTTCTGGTTCCGTCTCAAACATTTATTCTATTTCTGGTTACGTGAAAACGCTTTTGAAAGTCAAAAGCAACAAATACCAAACAGAACAAACAGTGGTATATTGGAATTTTGTTTGATCTGTCGACCGCCTCAAGCGGATCTCACGTACGTACGTATATATATGTACATATGTATGTCTGTATTGGATATGAGAACTAACCCAGAACTCGATCTCGGGATCAGTGAGCAGTTAGACAATATGCCTTCATATGCATAAGTAAGCACGCCAACAATGATTTAATCAATTGCTAAAATGTGCTTTATTATTCAGGTTCATGACATAAGTTCTTGCCACCCCTACAATTAAATTCTGGCATTCCGTGAAGCAGCTGGTCTATCTATATCATTACTTAAGCAACGATCGGGGCTCATTGTGCTGTGGATAATAGTTAATGCTCAAACGATTCGAACAAGTGTCTTTTGTTCGTCATCCAGACAAAAGGCTGGCCAATTTACATTTTGACTCTGATTTTGATTTAGTTGCGGAAACATTTTGTTGACACTCTCTATTCCAACTGCTAACTGCTTAATGAGGCAAGTGTTAATGTCTTTGACTTTTGATATGTAAAAGTTAATCGGATTATGGATACCCTCCTAGCAAATAACTTGCTTTTAACTTGTCAACAATCGCTTGACCACAAACGTACCTGCGAACGGGTTTAATATTTTATTTATAGTCTACACGGGCAGAAGCCGTATGTTTGTCCTTGAATGCGCCAGAGTTCTTAGCACTTATAAAGTAACTGAATCAGGAGGCTTGCTATTAAAGTTCTTTTGTCAAGATTACATTAAATAAGAATTAATGTCTCTCAGGGGATTAAATAGACCGCAATCATTTTTAGAAATTCCGTTTTATTGTTGATCTTTAATTTCAGTTTGTTATCTGATTCCGCATCGTTTCTCTTCCCCTTTCCAGTCGTAGTCAAAAAAAATAAATATTAAAACATCATTAGAATTCATTATTTCGCAAATATCACAACATTTGTTTTTATTCATTTTGAGTTGTTATTTTATCATGTTTCTTAAATACGTATTAGCAAATATGTACACAATAAATTCAATAAGGCAAACTTAGTGACTATGAGTAAAGAATACTTTGCAACAATATGTAGAAAGAGCGATTACTGTGTATATGGCAGGGATGATTCTCTAGCAATGTATCCATGCCAGCACAACGCTCAGTAGGAGTGCCAGACTCCACTTTAGTCTTGCTCCTCCATTCTCCGCCGCCTCCTCCGCGGGCAGACGAGCCGAGGCGACAAGCTGCTCCTCGTTCAGTTTGGGACGAAAGCTCCAGTCGATGGTATTCGTCTTGCAGATGTTGCCAAACACTCTTGCCGAGATCTTGGGCGTACGTGTGCGCTCCGGCGAACTGAAGTCCACATGGTAGAGACCAAATTTCTCCGTGTAGCCAGCCTTCCACTCGTAGCTGTCCATCAAGCTCCAGGTAATATAGCCCTTCACATTGGCGCCATCCTCTATTGCATCCAGCACGGCGGACAAGTACAAATTAATGTAGTCCACACGGGCATAATCCTCCAAACCGCCACGATCACTAACACCATTCTCCGTGATAATCATCTCGGGTCCGTTATACTCACGATGTATCCACATCAACAAATTGTACATGCCCTTGGGATACACCTGCAAAGGGAACAAGCCAGTTGAGAACTGAGCAACAAGGGAAAACTGCTTTGGGGGTTCATTGAACTAGCACCTGCCCAGCACAACCCTCAATGTAAAGCCAATTTCGCCCAGCCCCCTTTTGTGCTTGAGTCACCCCCATTTTTATACCCTTACTGAAGGTTTCTTAGTTCAAATGTGCAACAAGTTGAAGGATATATTTTTAATCTAATGTCGGATCGGCTCAGCAGGAATTATTGGTAAAAATCGAGTTTTGCTAATCATACCTTTTTTGTTTCTGTAAATATCTTAACCCAACTCCCCCATCAGCATACGTGCACTTCCTTTAAGTCTAAGTAAAGAGCATTTAAGCTGCGTCATCCCCAAAAAAAATGACTTCTCTTTTTTTAATCTTGGCTAAGTAGTTTGTGGCACCCTCTGACGTTTGATAAGACCAAAACAGCTTGTCATTATTCACTTACTGACAAAGCTTCCGACATAAATCCAACTGCGGTTTGCATCCCTCTTAAACCCCTTAAGTCCCCCCAAGTCCCTAGCTTGAGTATTAGCTCATCCCAGTTAATTAGCGAGTTCGCTCGTGACTGTTCCAGCACTTAATTATGGATTGTTTAATATAAGTATGACTTACCTTTAGCCAGACGGAACCCGAGCCGGGCCAGTCGACGTCAGCTTGGCTCTCGACAACGCCCATGTCGTGATTGAACGACGGTATCGGAAACTTGCCAGTGTTATTGTGTCCATTCGGAGTCACCAGATTGCTGGTGTACGAGTTGATGCCAAAGAAATCTGAGGTGCCCTTAATGCGATGAATCTCCTCCGGTGTGAACTCAGGCAGGCGAGAACGCGATCCAAAGCCCTGTTGCTTGCTCATGTTCCTGATGCGCTCGATCATCACCTTGGGATAGTTGCCATGCTTCGAGAAGATGGGATGTGCAAACCAGCCAATATAGAACTGCATTGCCCGCTCGGATGCCTCACGATCCTCGGCGCTATCAGGATTCTTTGGCTCAGGCCACGAGGTGTCCACTGTGATGCCTATGCGACCACCCTGTCGCTGCTGGAACTGTTCCCGATACATGTGCACCACCTCTGCGTGCGCCTTGAGCAGATTGTGGCCGCACAGATAGGCCGGGATGCCTGGGAAGTTATACGAGGGTGCCATATAATCCACACCATATCCATGCTCGCACACATGCCACGGCTCGTTGATTGTGGTCCATAGCTTGACACGATCGCCATACATCTCCAGCACCAAGCGTGCATAATCCTTAAACAATGGTATTATCTCGGGATTGGTCCAACCGCCCAGCTCCTGCAGCCGCTGCGGTAAATCCCAATGATACATGGTAACCATGGGCGTGATATTATACTTTAGCAGCTCATCGATCAGATTGCTGTAGTACTTGATGCCAGCGGTGCTCACATGATTCATATAGCCACCGGGCATGATCCTCGGCCAGGATAACGAGAAACGATACGAGGTCACATGCAGTTCCCTAACCATTTGGACATCGCGACGCCACTGCAAAATTCAATGAGACACAATTCTAAATCAGATATGCGACAAAAGAATGCCAAGTATTTGCTAACAACCAGTTGCCCTCAAAATCATTAACACCACATATATTGGTCATTGGTGTCTACACAGGGGCTTGTTCATTTTTATTTTTTCCTATTATTATTTGCAATGCCTAAGTTGACACGTTATGTTGTTAGCACACGAATCTGACTCGATGTCGACTCTAAGTCTATGGGGGAGTCCAGCGGCTTGGATTCATTAGCTAAACACCTGCGGACAGGTCGATTTGTATGCAGATTTTGATATAGTTGTGTTATAGGCAATTTTATGCTACATGAATTAATCAATGACAAAGTGTAAGATAACATGGCCAGTGACATGGTCGGATACAATTCATTGACTATTGATCAGTTACAGTTTAATTACACTTTAGGATATAATTGAGCGAGCTATATTATTATAAATATATATTTTATTATCAATAATACATAGTTGGTTGGTAGTAGCAATTTGTGTGACATTTTTATGTCTTTTTGTTTTTAATAACTTTAACAATGTTGTAAGTTGTGCTGATCTACATATTCGAAAAATATTGTTAACAGCTCGGGTGTCTCAAGGATTTTGCTTTCTGACAATATTCTGCATATTTCAGTGGGTGTCATAACAACCTCTTATAAATACTATTAAGTGGCTTGTTGACATTTTGAGAGACTCTTTTGAAGCATTCTACTTTGAAATGCATTAGGTATTTATCTTTAGTATCTTATCTAACTTTTTTTTAAATTAGAGTGTCTTGATTCATTTCGAAAAAAAACTCCGCTAAAAATAATTTTGGTAAAAATCGTTGAATTTCATTCTTCCTTCTATATAGTATAGTAATATATTGTGTGTAATAACAGTGTAAATTCTTTATAATTCTAGGCCTGAGCTGAATAGCACTAAGAAATACTTTATTAAATCTTTTCAATAACCTTCTCTTTGTACTTATTTATTTCATAGTTATTTATGATTTTAAAGCTTTAACGACTTTGCTTAACAGCCATTAAAATTTATGGCAAATTTTTGAATAAAGTTTATTATGATTTGCTTGGCTTTATCATAATAAAACCAATTGATTTACCAATTGAGATGTGTTATCTGTTCGACGCAGCAATTATTCACAGTTAATAATCGCAAAGTAATCATTGCAAGCAGCAACACAATTTGGAAGCATTAGCCAAAGTTGTTAAAGATAATTTGGCAAGTAAGTATATACGACTGCATAGTGGATACGATAATTGGCACACATTTGCCTCAAAAGCGCAGCTGACAAAGTTGATAGTGTACAGGCCATCATTCAAAATGCGACACTTATTATTTGCATAGTTTAGTTTTGTTTTGCATTTAATTGTCTGTCTATACTTATGCCATTGGAAAAACGCATAAATTCTGAATCAGTGACCCAAAGAAACACCTGTTGCTGCTACCAAGATTGAGGAGGGGCAAAGACTAACTAATTATTCGAGCAGAGTTTTGTTTTCTGCACATTATTAAAGAAATATTTATGACTATGATTAATGAACTAGACTCAGACGTATAATTATTTATGAATTCAGCGTCTACAGTTTATTCCAAAGAAATTGAAGTCATTGAATTGACAGCACGTGTGTGACAACTGTTGATCCGGTCTCATTACAAATAATAGTTATAATTGCTTACCTGATGATAGCTATCCGCCGATATATCGCCATTGGATTGATCGACAATCTTTTCGCGATTATTGTGTGTGAGATAGTCCCAAATGGACTCGCCCTTATCATCCGCATTCCAACCCCCCTCAATTTGATATGACGAGGAACCGACGCCCCACATAAAGTCACTGGGAAAATGACGTGCATTACTCGATGGATTGTTATACGTGCTGAAACAAAAATCAAGAAAAATACCAAAAATAAAGTTCAAGTTCGGCATTATTAAAAGTTGGTCCCAATTGTTTAAAATTTGAAAGTTGCCGAAAGCCAGTTATCATGTAATATGTCTTCTATACAAATCAAAAATAAATACCATGCGACAAAGGCCGTAATTCAAATTAATTTTATACAATTGCATTTATTGGCATTATATTGATTTTGATGATAGTTGAAGGTCAAATTGTGCCATGGATAATGGCAGAATGAAATACGCATTCAGAAAAAAGGCCTTGTCATTATCATCCAGCTATGGCTAAGCTTGGCAGCTCAAGGCATTTGACAATTTTGTCAACTAATTCGATTTGGTGCTTTCGAGCATAGCAAATCTTAAGCAAATCTGTGGACATTTGGTTCACTTACGAGGCGGCTCCACAGCGACTGCTCTGCTCCAGCGCCAGCGACAGCAGCGCAATTTTCAATAGCATATGCCACATTTTTAATAATTAATACTAATATTTATATAAATATTCACAATATCCTTTATCACACTGCACTTAATCCTTTATTAGGGCGACACTTTGCACAACTTCAAGTAACTTCAGCGATGAAAACTATTCTCGCTGACTTCTTGATTAATGTTGGCACTCTTCGCGAGTTTTCTGATTGAGCGAGTTTAAAGCGAGCGTTTTGAGCTCGTCGCGGAACGCTGACAAATGAACGCTGCCGCTTTGTATCCTAGCGTTTTTAAAGCAAATCGATCTCAATGAGAACCGCAAAGCAAAGCGAAGCACAACAAACCAAAAAAACTCACCTCCGAACGAGTTCTGCTCAGCAGCAGCAACTCCCAAGCAGGTGAGCTCTTATTGTTCTTGTTGTTGTTGTGATTGTTGTTGCTGTTGCTGTTGTTAGTGTTCTGGATGATATGAATATGATGTTTGTGATCGGAAGAGACGTCATTTGGAGAATGCTGGACTGTCTGGTTTATGGATGGGGTTCGATGTGAGAAATTCCCCGTTATAACGATTCACGCGTTACGTTTATTGCCATAGGAAAGACAATTAAATTGGTCATCAACAGGCTTTTATTTATTTTAAATTTTGGAATACAGTCGCTTTAACGGAATAAAATAAAAATAATTAATTTATTATTTATTTATTTTAAATTATTATTTCAATTGCCTTATGACTAGGCATTAGGCAACCGATTAATAAATAATCTAATCAAATTTTCCACAATGCATAAGTTTTCAAGTTTAACTCAGTTTTCATTTCTTATTGTTATTTTTTGTCACTCATTCGAGACAAATGCAAGCAGATTTTTTGTTTAAACAACTGTAGATACCAACGTGTGAAAAAGATAAGAAATATGTAGACCACAGAAGAGACAAAACTAAAAGAGAGAGAGAGAGAGAGACAGAGAGAGCGAGAGTATTGTGAGAGAGAGTGAGAGAAAACATGCTTATGCCCATTAGGAACATGTTGAAAATCAATTCAATCAAGATACTTCCTTCAGTGCTAAGATAGCAAAGCAACTGTGAGTTTTCTTATCAGTTACAAGAGTCAAATAAAAACAAAAAACAGCAATTCAATAAAGAAAGACAATCCATTAATCATACATCCTGATTCTGCGGAGCTTTGCTAGTAAATAATAACCTGCCTGGAGCTGGGCTTTTCCCAAAATAAACTCGAAAGAAAAGACTAAAGACCGCAACGCACGAGTTAATGAATGTTTGGCCTTTATTCTTGGTGACCACAAAGAACGCAGTCATCTGTGGCTTTTTTTTATATCCGCAATATACATATTTCAGCTTTTAATATTTTTAGCTTCTCTTTAGACATTATATATGTATATATATATAAATATATTTTATATTGAATGAATTTAAATAAGATTATCAGGTAAGTGGATCAATCTGAAATGAAGGGCCAGCAACCTGTTTTAATTAAAACACCATTAGGTCTCATTAGCAACAACAGAAGGAAGTGCATCACATTCAAAAGCAAGTCGAGAAAATGATCACAATCAAAAAATCTTCACTCTGTGACCAATCAAATTTTTGAGCATGTAAGCATTTGAAAAATTTCTCCGATTAACATAAAATTTGAATTCTATTTTTTGAGCAGCTGCAATGATAAATTATTATTAGTTTAGCTATGTCTTCTCCAACAGTGTCAAACGCACTTAACCGGTTTTTTCTGTTTACTATATTCACTGTCATTTGTTTAGCTAGAGACTTCGTAAGGTTTGCGGTTTTTTTCCTCACGTGGAGTCAACTCAGTGTAGAATCCAGATTAAATGAATCATACTTTGCAAAAAGACCCTTAAGCGTAGAAGTCGCGAAATTTTTGTACACGCATCAACGCATTAAAGACGTCAATTGTCGAAGAACTTAAATAAAATCACCCATGAGTCAGCATATGAGCTACTTACATATGTATTTCCGTTGGTTTATAATTACTATATTTACTTAAAAAAACAAATACAAATGTCACATGTTAATATTAATAGCCGTAAGTCGCAATTAGATGATTGGAAGATTCCCTCTATTTTGCATTAAATTTAAATGAACGCGCTATTAATAGCCGCTTTATAAATATATATCGATGTATCAAATAAAATATCGATGTCAGCTCACTGTGAATATCGGCAAAAGCATCGATGCTTTGTCTTGTAAAAACGTAAACAACAACTGGCAACACGTGCGCGGCTTTTACAAAATTGTTATTAAAAATGGAATTATTCACAGTAAATCGGTATATATAAACATTTAATATAAAACTCACGTATATTTATAAATATTCTCCGATCACAGTTACACCCAAGAGCACAACAAATCTACTAAATACAGCGGCGATGCAAACGAAGATGAAATACTGCAAAAACTTTTGCAGAAGGCAGAAAAGCGAAAAAGAAAACACGAAATCAGTGAGAAAGAAAAACCATTCGAAACAGTTGATGCAATTGAAGAGAAAGATGATGCGGAAGATGCACAGGGTGAAGATGCAGCAGCAGCATCACAGTCAGATAAAGAAGAGAAGCCCAAGGAAACGGAGCCATCAAATGATTTCCAAGTTCTTGGTGCAGATGCATCAGCGAAGCGCCCAAAAGTGGAAATGGTTTTACCCGCTTGGCTGGCGCATCCCACAATTATTGAAGGTGGCAGTCTGTTGTCCACTGATGCTACAGACGCGGAGACCGATGAGACATCCATCAAACAGCTGGCATATCTGGAGAAGCACACGTGCAGTGCGCTTAAGCAAATGAAGATCGAGCGTCTGTTTCCCGTTCAACGCGCTGTTATTCCATGGATCCTGGAGGCGCAATCCAAACCGGCACCGTTTCGACCACGCGACATTTGCGTCTCGGCACCGACCGGCAGCGGCAAGACTCTAGCCTTTGCCATACCCATTGTACAGCTGCTGGCCAATCGCGTGGAGTGTAAAGTGCGTGCTCTAGTGGTGCTGCCGGTCGCCGAGCTGGCGCTCCAGGTGTACAAGGTGTTCAGTGTGCTGTGCAGCAAGACGGAGCTGGAGGTGTGTCTGCTGTCCAAGCAGCATCGCCTCGAGGATGAGCAGGAGAAGCTGCTCGAGCAATATAAAGGTGTCTACTACTCCAAAGTGGACATTGTGGTCACCACGCCAGGTAAGATCATGTCTCTGTCGTAAATGAATACAATGAATAACACATTGTATCTCACAGGGCGCCTTGTGGATCATTTGCATGCCACGGAGGGATTCTGCTTGAAATCCCTGCAATTTCTGGTCATCGACGAGGCGGATCGCATAATGGATGCCGTTTTCCAGAATTGGCTGTATCACTTGGACTCGCATGTGCGTACCACAGCGGATCAGCTACTGACTGGGGTACAGGCACCACTCTGCTACCAAGAACTGCTCAACAGCTATGGCAAACAGCCACACAAACTACTCTTCTCCGCCACACTCTCACAAGATCCTGAAAAGCTGCAGAACTTGCGTCTATTTCAGCCCAAGCTCTTTACCACAGTGTTCACGTTGCCGGTGCTACCGTCTGCCTTGGACATCGCCGAGCTGCCCGAGCAGAGCAGTCAGTTTATTGGGAAGTACACAACGCCAACGGAGCTGACGGAGCAATATTGCGTGACAGAGTTGCGACTGAAGCCGCTGACGCTGTACACCATGGTGCAAACGTATGGCTGGAAGCGTTTCCTGTGCTTCACCAACAGTGCGGACACAGCGGATCGTCTGGCCTTTGTGCTTAAGCATCTGTTTCAGGGCTCACCCATCACAGTGGAGGAGCTCTCCGCGAATATGAAGGTGGGTGTGCGTGCCCGTCGTTTGGCGGATTTTGCAAAGGGCAGCATTCATGGGCTGGTCTGTTCGGATGCACTGGCGCGCGGTATTGATGTACCCAATGTGGACATTGTACTCTCCTACGAGGCGCCGCGTCATATCAAGACTTATATTCATCGTGTGGGCCGAACAGCGCGTGCCGGACAAAAAGGCACAGCAATAACGCTACTCACCGAGAAGGATCAGGCGCCATTCAAGAAAATGCTCTACGAGGTGGGCAAATCGATGGGTGAGGAGCTCACCGTCTCAGCGGACGTTGAAGTAGAGCATGCGGACATCTACAAGACTGCGCTGGAGGAGCTGCGCCGTCGCCAAGAGAAACGGAAGAGCGAGATGAAGGTGGAGAAGATGCGCATTACACGTAAGGCGGCTCTACACAAACAGCTGGAGACTGGCGACAAACCACTGACGCTGATGGAGAAGCTGCAGGTGAAGACGGCAATCCAACTGCTGCCCGAGGAGAATGCGCCAAAGGAAAAGAAACAACCCAAGCCAAGACCCACAAAAATGGCCAAGCCAAAGCGCAAACCAATCAAAAAGTAAAGGAACCCCTGGTTTTCTTGGGTAATCACCCAGAACTTAGAAACGTTCAATCTATAGCTATAATATATGTATATATATATATATATATGTATAGTAATATATTATGTATATATACACAGTTGATGAATTTGTCTTATCACTGGAAAGGCCAAGTGATTCCCCTGCGGGTACTTCATCAAAAACATAAAAAATTTACTGCTCTCCCAGCACATCGAAATTTGTATGCTCTTTAAAAAGATGCTGTGTGTGTTTATACAACTTTGACCCTTGCTTTAATGTTAAGAATTGTTTAAATAAAATTCAATTTTTTTACTATTGTTATCAACAAGACATAAATTTGTAAATATGATTTACACTCTGAGAACTTATACAATTGTTGAGACTTTCTAGGAGGACAGTAAAGTTGAGAACATATTTACAAAGAAACAACTTATTAAAACTGCTCGCCACAAAATCGTTGAGTATATTAATATACCTCAATCAGTTAACTACATTTCAAGCACCTTATCTGGCTATTTAAAAAGCTTGCTTGCCAGAACAGATCTCATAATGAAAACGTCCAGCGATGAACACAGCAGCAATAAAGTTTTTGGCAGTTGTAGCGCTCTGCACCATCGGTAAATGATCAATTAAGTAATCGGGTAATAAAACTTGTTTCTAATCACCTCATCAAATTTGACTTTAGCACTCTCTCCGACGACGCAAGCGTTGACTATTCAACCTCGCAGCAGCTGGAATGCTGCTAGTGCTCGCTCCCCATCACGGATCAGTGGCGCCGTCGAGTATGTAATCATCCACCACTCGGATAATCCCAATGGATGCACTACGTCAGAGCAGTGCCAGCGCATGATCAAGGCCATCCAGTCGGATCACAAGGGCCGACGCAAGTTCAGCGATATTGGCTATAACTTTATCATTGCCGGCGATGGCAAAGTGTATGAGGGACGTGGCTTTGGACTGCAGGGATCTCATGCACCCAACTATAATCGCCGCAGCATTGGCATCGTCTTCATTGGCAACTTCGAGAGCAGCGCACCCTCAGCACAGATGCTCCAGAATGCCAAGGATTTAATTGATATGGCCAAGCAAGGTGGCCATCTGAAGAATGACTACACTTTGTTGGGCCATCGTCAGACAAAGGCAACTGCCTGCCCTGGAACAGCTCTTTACAATGAGATTAAGACCTGGCCTCATTGGAAACAGATTTAAATTATTGGATCAATTCAATTAACTGCCGCTTGAATTTTGATATATTGAACGTTTTTTTATAAAAATATACTTGCAAATTTAAAGCATTTTACTCATTGCATCCCAAATGACGCTTTAAAAAAGTATTATCTGATATCTCACATCCCTATGTCATGCGCATAAGATTTGTACAACTCCTTGGATTATTGGATTTAGAATTAATTACGCTTATCGCTTTTTGAGTTGAGGGCATAATAAATATTTAGGCAAACTAAGATAATGTCAATTAACCATTTAACAAGACCCTACACGCGCTTGAAAAGTTATCGCTGTTCGATTTGATGCGATAACAATACTTTGTTGACTCAGCTGCTGTTTGATTTGCATAATATGTATAGTCAACCCCAGAAGAATGGTCTTACGTCAACGAATCGAGCTTAAGCAATAAGCAAATGAGTGCCCTTGAGCTGCACTGCTTTCCAAGCACCCAGATGGTCAGCTTTACGATCCAAAAAGGCTAGACCTCCATAAACGAACGACTGCATTTGAAAAGCAAATACATTGCAAATGCCACAATCAGATGGGAATGCTTTATAAATAGCCAGGCAGAAGAGCAATGCGACAGTGACCAGCAAGCCAGCGGTGCAAGCGAATCCCTTCAAGACAATCTAAACATGAAGCTCGTGAGTTCAATGTAAATAATTCTGCAGTTCCATTCAAATGCATCTCTCCATTTGCAGCTCATCCTCGGCTGTCTGCTGTTGGCTATCGCACTGTGCCGGGCCAGCATAATACCTGCCCACGCTGGATTAGGTGTTCCAGTGGCCGCCGCTCCTGTGCCAGCTCTGGTGCCAGTCGCCGGAAGCCATCAATTTGTGGCCCGCAACTACAACGGCTACTATGTGCCGACGACGACATCCACAGCTTGGCCAGCTTGGTCCGCCTATCCGAATACCTACTACAAATATAGCGGTGGTTATCCCACCTACACTTATCCCTATAGCTACCCTTATGGCTACTATCCCAGCTATAACTATGGCTATGGATATAAGAGTGTCTGGTAATGGAATGAATATCTTTTTCTTTAACTATAATAAAATATTATTGTGATCTAAGTTCGATGTATAACAATGTATAAATATATATACTCGTAATCCATATTTGAAAGTATTTTCCTACACTTTTTTGATTACGATTTGTTGCCAAAAGAAATATGCAAGTGTCTCTATGCCGCTGTCCATGTCTGTTGTTGGTCTTAAGCCAAGCTTCACTTGTAGTTGGATTACTTAAATTGACTTTGATTTTTGGTTAACCAACTTTTGCTTTTATTTTACTTAAGATATATTTGCTTGCAAGTTCAGGCGCTAATTAGTTAAAATATGAGTGGAGCGGGAGCTGGAGCTGCGGCAATGAATCTGGCAGGCTGTCCAAAACGAGCTGCCGCAGCTGGAAAGCCAAAAATCGTTGAAAATCCGGCCAAATCCGCTGGGCTGGCCAACAAGCGAGCGGGTGGTGCAAAGGCGGCATTGAACTGGTTAAAGTAATCCAGACGCTGGCTGCTCGAAACGGCCAACGGAGCGGGTGCAGCAAAAGGAGCCGCCACAGGAAAATTGGTATAGGGCACAGGAGCGGGCAACACAGCCGCCTGGGCGACCACAGACGCCACCAAAGCCAGTGATAAAAGAAGGATCTGAGAATGGATGTAAAAAAAAATAATTTAAAGGAGTTTTTGAAATTGGAATTATTTTACAAACCATTTGCTGCATTTTGAGGGAGATTTTGTGAATGCTTTTGATGCTGCTGTTCTTCTGACTAACTCCGCGAGTTGAATATGCAACGATTTCTTTATGCTGTTGGTTTTTATAGGCGTTGCAGTTGCTCCAACTTGTCACGCATTTGGATGCACACTTAGCCAAATTGCAGAGTAAGTCAATCGTATGCAAATCGATTTCAATTTACGACATGACACCTTTTTGGACAAACTCTGATTGATGGTTTTTTGGTAGCGTCAAATGCTGCTCCAATTAAAGTTGCTCAACAGCAATCGAAAGAACTCAAAAATATAAATAATATTAAAAGGCTTCATCAAAGTTAAAAGATATAGTTTTTGTATGCTCATTTCACATTTTAATTGATAGAACAAATATAATAATAACTATTTGTATGCGCATTCGTATAAATGTAAATCATGGATACATATCATATATATATATATATGTATATATAGTATGTGAAATATATATATATATATATCTCAATATTTGATAGCTGTTTTGGTTACCTGTTGATCGTTCAGTTGTTGCTTTTGTTTTTAGGCGATGTTTTAATATTTAGTGTTTTATATTCTATATATGTAGTTAATTATTAATAAACACTTTAGGCTAGTTAAACGTTATATGGTATATGGTATATGGTGTGTGGTAGGTATAATGGTATGTTCGATATTACGAGTATGTAGTTGTAGTAGTTATGCAACACTTTGGATAGTGATTAATGATTAACACTAAGCTAGACGACATTTAGCATAGGCAATAATTAGTTGCTTTCGTTTACTTAGAGTTGAGGATGAGTATTTGGATTTAAATCAACACTAAAAACAAACGCTCTATTAGTTGTTATCGTTATCGTTAATGTTATCGAATTATATTTAGCATAAATAACTAGGGTAGTTGTTCTGTGTTGTGGATAGTTTCAGAAATCGCTCCTCTCTTTTTCTATATACAATCTAAACTTGGAATTTATAACTAGCAGCGCCGCAACAAGATCGGTTAGCACAAGTTGAGGTTCGGGTTGGAGGAGGGGGGGTTGGGTGTTGAGGGGGGTATTTATCAAATAAAGGTCATAGGTTAAAACATGTACATAAAATCACAGTCTATTGTTTAAGTTAAGGATATCTATATGGCAATTAATTTGACTAGACAAAGCAGACAGACAATTATTGAAGGGGGCGTGTGAAGGGGAAGGGAGGTGGGGTTGACTCAGGATTTGCATTCCGACTTGGTTTCGCTTAGAGGCCTCTCTACCAAAGAACATCGTAGTTGTAGACATGCTCGGATGAGGCGATAATCAAACACTTGACAAACTCATCGAAACTCCTTTTCAGTTTCCATTTTCTTGGCTTGCGCAGGAGCTGCAAAGGCTTCAACTTGGTCCTGGCTTGCTTTGGCTTGCCAGACTCGTGCCACGGACTGGTCGAAGTGGATGTGGTTCGAGTTGCCACCGGCTGCTGCGGAAGCTGTTGCTGCACTTGCGGCACATTGTAGTAGTCGTGCTGACGCAGACGCTCCATCGTCTGGAGGCGCTGCTCCTGATAGTAGTGATTGAGATTGGTCAAGAAGTAAAAGTCGCCATCGTTGATGACATCGATTTCGGCATAGTTGCCGCCATCGCTTTCCGGCTGCTCAGCTGTCGATGTTGTTGCTGCTCCTGTTGTTGCCTGGGCAAAGAGTTGATCAAATCACATGTTTTCATCGAACTTGGCAAAGTTGCTGTCCTCGTTCCACTGAAACTTGTTGGCATCCTGTTGCCCATCCTTGTCACCCTGGCCAGCCATCGGCTGTTCGTCGGGCGATTTGAAGAACTCATCGTCCTCGAAGGGATCCTCGTGCTTCTTGGCGAATATGTTGACCGATTCGGATTTCTTGATCAGCTCCTGACGCTGCTGCAACTTGCTGCTGCGCATATTTTGCTTCCGGCTCGAGGCTGACGGCGCCGCCGGTGATGCCTGATCCTTGTCAAAGTCAAAGGAGGCCTTGGCAAAGTCATCCTCGAAGGCGGCATCATCGAATTGCGACACCTTCACATTGTCATCGAAGCGCAACTTTTGTGTGATGGGCGGCGTCGATGCTGGTGGCGTCTCCACCTCAAAGTTGCCATCCCGCTGCTGCTGCTGCTGTTGTTGCTGCTGCTGAAGCTGCTGCTGCAACTTCTCGCGCTCGGAGAAGTCGTTGGAGAAGCGAAACAGCGACTTGGAGCCACCCGTACTGCTGGCCGAGATCAGGCCAGCTGGTGTCGAATTGCAACTGGAGGCGGTGCCAGCTGGTGCTGGCGGCGGCGAGCTTTGATTAAAGTCCGACTCAAAGCCGTCGTCGAAATTGAATTTACTGCCGCCGGTGGCAACAGGTCCGCCCGAGGATTCACCGCCGCTCATCATGACCGCTGTGCTGCTCGCATTCGAACGGGGCGTCGGCGTCTGCTCATAGCTATCCACAAAGCCATAATCGCTGTTGACGTTGTTGTTGTTGACAATGCCACGCGACGCCCGATTCTGACCAGACAGCTTGGCTAGCGCGGGAGCATGTCGCTCCTGCTGTCGGCGCTCGCTCTCCAGCATGCGCTGATGCATCTCGTGGCGACGTCGATTCAACCGCTCGAATTTATCCTCATCTGTGGGCGGCTCATCGTCCACATAGTCCTCGTCGTCGTCGTCATCATCGTCATCGTCAGCGTTGCGCTGGCAACTGATGTAGTCGTAATTATCTCGTACGCCACGCCCACTGCCATAACGTACACCGCCCACCGTGGCCAGATCTTTGGCGCTGCGTGCGCGTGTCTTCTTGCGAAATCTGCGAAGAGTTTGGAATGTGAGTTTGGAGTTTGAGCTGCATTAAAAGTTCAGTTACTCACCTGCGATCCTTTTCGCCATCGGATGGCGTCTGGGCGAGAACAGCAGCCCGCCGACTCTCGGCTAGACGACGCTCCGTTTCCGCAGCACTCGCTGGACGCTTCCACGACTTCTGACCAGGCAAACTGGGCTCTGTCAGTTTATAGATAGATATAGATTAAGATATGTAAAAATTCCATCATTCATGCGACTTACCCTCACCATCCCAGGGACTGGAGCCGCTGCTCTTGCGCAGACGCTGTGGAGCCGCACCTGGCACCACATCGCCGCCTAGCTGGCTGGGCCTTTGGAGGCTGCGCTGTCGCTGCTGGAAATCCTGCTCCGAGTCCTGTTCGTAGTCAATGTCGCCGGTGACGCGCAGCTTGGCCGCGGCGGATGTGGCCGGTTTGCGTAGCGAGCGCGTCTTCAGCTCGCGATCCCGTTCGCGGTACTCATCACGGCTATCCAGACTCCCGTAGACATCGCCACCACTGCCAAAGCTGCGTCGTCGTCGCGTCGAACTCTCGAAGGACTCAACGCTCTCGCGATCGAAGGATTTGCGCTCCCGTTCCCGCTCCCTATCCCTATCCCTATCCCGCTCCCGCTCGTACAGATACTCGGGCCGTGACTTGTAGCTGGGTCCCATGGGCGAGCGTCGCTCCTCGTAGACGTTCTCATAGTCAAACTCATAGCTGGGACGCGCATAGTCTCTGTACTCTCGTTCCCGATACTTGGAGCGCTCACGTTCACGCTCCCGGGGCAGCGGCTGACCCCGCTTGTCGTACATCGGTGCCGGCGGACCATAACTGGAGCGCTCGTAGGCGCTGCGCTCAAAGGAGCGCGCTCGCACGCCCTGCTCCATCTCCTGCGGCGACCAGGTGTGATGCGCCGGATGATGATACCAGCTGGGCGACTCTACAGCAATAAAATTAAATGTTTAAATTTGAAGTAGCCACGGAGCAGAAACTAAGCTTACCCAGCTCAAAGTTATCCCTGCTGCGTGAGAGTCCATGCTTGAACTTGCGCGGCGGCTGCTCCCGATCCCGGCGAGCACAGAACTCGGCGTCGTAGCTGCAAGTGAACGATTATGCATTAGTAATACTCACTTAGAAGAGAAATAATCTTAGGTTTTAATAATTTGGTCTAGGTTAGGTTCAAACTTACTCGTAATCCTCGTCGCAGGAGTTGAGGCGTCGTGCGTGGCGCATGTAGTAGCCATGCGGGGCATGCGGATGCGGCGGCAGCTGGGTGGGTGGCGGTAAGCCACGGCGCTGCTGCTGCTGCTTGAGATACTCGGGCGTATCGTCGTCCCAGGGACTGAGATCCCGCGAGGAGGAGGATGTTTGCTGGCGTTCCTTTTTGGCCCAGCGGCGTTGCTGCTGCTGCTTGGACCAACCGCCGCCGGCATCGTCACGCGGATCCGAGCTGCATGGCGACTCAGCGGTGTCGTGCTGCGACGTATTCGAGGCGGGTGGCGGGGGCAGGGTGAGCCGTGCCTTGCCCTTGTTGTGGCTGCTGCTGCTGCCGGCGCTGGCGACTGGCGCCACTTTGGGTGAGTCGAAGGTGGCCCAGGAAGGTTTCTCCATCTGCATCTGCTTGGTGGCCGTATCGATTAGCTGCGATACAGCGGACAGCTGCGATGGCACCGGCGATGCCCCAACTGGATGCAATGACGGCGCCGGCGATTTCTGGAGCGGAATGGGCGAAGTGCTCACATCGTTGAACTGCGACGGCGTGTGCAGGCTGTGCGGCGGAGGTCCTCGCGATGTGGATGTGGCCGGGGAGATGCGATCGCGGGAGTCCAGCGACAGATTGGAGATGGCACGTTGCATCAGCTCGTCGATTTCGATGTCATCGCGACCAGGCGCACTGACCACGGTGAGGAACTTGTTGTCCTGCTGCTTGGGCGGCAGCTGTTCCTGTTCCGACTTGAAGTCGGGCTTCTCGGCACTGGTGGACAACTTTTCGTACTGATCCTGGGCGCTGACGGGTTCCGCATCCTTCTCATTGCTATCCATGCTGCTCTCACCGCCCGCATCCTCATCCTCGTCCTCATCGTCGTCATCATCGTCATCGGCAATGGTCAGCGCCGAGGATGAGGGCTCGGCAGGCAGGCCGCGACTATCGACGAGGCCACGTCGATCGTGGCTGCTGTCCATGATCTGTCGGATGTCCTGATCCTCGTTGAACTCATCGCTGAACAAATCCTGCAGCAGATCCTTCTCGGCCAGAGCTGGCACAGTGCTCGTCGGCAACGGTGGCGGCGGCGCCTTATCGAACAGATTCTCGACGAGAATAATATCTCGCAGTGCCGCATAACGATCCTTGGCCTGGGCAACCACCTCGGTGATCTTGGTATCGATTTTGGGCGGAGCTGGAGGTGGAGGTGGCTCCATTTCCAGCTCGGGCATATCGATGTCCAGCTGTGGATGCTGTTGTTGCTGCTGCTGCTGCTGATGTTGTTGTTGTTGTTGCTGCTGCTGCTCCTGCTGCTGTGCCTCATCCACTGGCGGCGGCGTTAAATCACCCATGAGATCCGTTTCCTGCTGCTGCTGCTGCAGCTCCTGATCGATAATCTCCCGGAAGACGGCATAGCGATCCGCTGGCGGCACCGCAGGCGCTGACAAAGTGGGCGCCTCATTAAAGTTGGCAAAGTTAGCGACAAACCCATCCGGAGCGAGATCCTCACCGAACGTATCATCGAACTTGGCCACAAACGAGGTCTGCTGATCAAAGTTGACCTTAAACACAGCCGCCGTTGAGGAGGAGGCGGTGCCCACAGGAGCAGCTGGCGATGCCAATTGCTGAGCGGGACTCGTCCGGGATTTGCAGGTGTGCACCAACTGATCCCCAGTGGACTGCAGATAGTCGGACAAATAGGAGGTCAACTGGACGAGGGTCATGGTGCTCAGCTTGCTAGCAGGCACATTCAGCCTGAGGGCCAGATCATCCATGCCCAGCGTGAGCAGTTGCGTCAGCGTAATGTCCGGCGCGAGTGCAGTGGCTGCCGCCGCCTCCTTTTGCGCCTGTGCCTGCAGTATTTCCGCCTTGTTCTCATAGATATCCTGCGGACGACCCAACGAGGCCTGGCGCTGTGGACGCGCTCGACTGCTGCCCGTTTGCGTGGGTGGCGGCAGCAGTGGTGGCGGCGGCGTCGGCGTTGCTGTCGATGTCGCTGTCGATGCGGATGTGCCACCACCCAAGGGCGCCAGATAATCGTCGTCGGTGTGGCCGGGCTTCCGAGGACGACCCGGTCCGGGGAAGTAGCCATCGGAGCGACCCACTCGCCGTGAAGGCAATGGAATGGGCGGGGCGTCGATGCTACGGCGGAGCTGGTTGCTCGAATGGTTCAAGTACTCGTAACGGCCGACAGGTGGCGCCGTCGCTGTGGGCCTTATGATGAGATCACTGAACTGTTTCTTGGGCGGCAACGGCGGCGGTTCAGCATACGGCGTAGAATCGGGTCGTGGCGGTGGTTCGGGAGCCGCCTCATTCTCACTGAGCGAATCGCTCTCTTGCAAACGGCGCATATTGACGCTGGAACCAATGCCCGATGCGGAGTCGCCACGCTTGGAGAAACGCGCCTGGCCAAACAGATGAGGCATCTTTTTGTTCGAAATGCTCGAGATGACATCGAGTGGACCGCCCACGTTGACCACACTGGCAACGGGCGTGGGACGATGACGCACACTGCTCGGCACCGGCTCCAGCCGGGATATGTCCGCCTGCCAAACATCCGATTGAGATTGACTCTGAGATTGAGATTGCGTTTGTTGCTCGGGCGGCAACTGCACCTGGAGTGGACCATTGAAGACGGCGGGGGAGCTGCTGCTGGTCGTCTCAAACTCGAAGGCATCGAGTTTGGCGAAGAGATCCCCCTCCTGAAACGGATCCGGATCGCTCTTCTTGCGCGTCGGCGAAAATGGATCCGTGTCGCGTGGCAACAGCACCGGATTCGCATCCTGTTGCTCCTCCAGATTGTGAATGGTGGTTGCGGGCTCTGTGGTATAATAGTTGAGCGCTGTATTAGTTGACTTGGACATGGCTGCGCTCTGACGTAGCATTAATTTGAGTTTGGCTGCCGAAAAGTCTTCGGCTTGATATTGCGACAGAGTTGGGGTCTGTGTGTGAATGTGAGCGATATGAGAGTGTTGCAGTTGGGATTGGGATTGGGATTGGGCTTGTGGTTGCGTATTTGTATAGATTTGGGATTGAGATTGGTGCTGTGATTGCTGTGACTGTTGCTGTTGCTGACTAGGACTAAGCTGGGAGCGGGAGCGGGGACGTGTGCTCGATTGGTTAGTGTTAGTTGTTAGTAGCAATTGTTGTTGCAGTTGCAGTTGCTGTTGCTGCCCAAGGCTGGCGGTGGCTATTAGTGGGTTAGTTGCTGTTGGATTGCTGCTGCTGTTGCTGCTGCTGCTGGAGTTGCCTGTTGTGATTAGTGCAAGTGCAATTGTTAGTCGTGTTAGAAGACAGCAATTTTGTTAGTTGTGCTTGCTGCTGCTGCTGGTGAGGTTGGATGTGTTTTTGGTTGGGTTTGGTGGGGGTGAACGGGTGGGTGTTTATGGGTGTGGTCAGTACCTGATGCAGTTGCTACTTCTATGTTAGTAGTAGTTGTTGCTGTTGTTGTTGCTGTTGTTATGGTTGGGCTGTTGTTGTCCTCGAATATGGAGTCCCTATTAGTGCCACCCAGAAAGTCATCAAAGTTATCGCCCTGACTGGTGCCGAGCTCCTTGAGCAGCTTCTTGGGCGGATTCTTAAGCTCTTGGAAAAAGTATTTCTTATCGACATAGGGCCGAGTGCGCCCAATGCCCAACGGATCCAGATCTGTGAACGCGTCTGGGCAACCCACCAAAATTAAAGCAACGCACAACGAGAAAAGCAGTGAGCAAAATTCAGTAATGGAGACAAAGAGAGAGAGAGAAAGAGAGAGACTCTCATCAGTCACTGTTTACGGTGACTCAAAATAAAACTAGCGTGCAATTTGTGAGAGAACTGAGTAAGAAACTTAAGAGAACAAATTGAAACTGAACTGAACTGAAACTAAGGATTGTAAATCAGCACTTTAAAGGAGTAAAACAACAACAAAACAACATTAGAAGCGGTGCTTAATGAGTTAGTAAGTTAGTTTAGTATGAACTTAGACTAAAATAAGCTGTCGAAAAGAGCTGCATTCAGTGTGGATGCGATTCAAGCACGGATTTAACTTTAAAATGCCATTTAATCATTTTTTAAATCAACTGTTAAGCAGCTGTTAAGCTGTTAATAAGCTGCTAAAATGTCAATTAACATAATATTGCATTAATGTTAAGTAGCATAAATTTACAGTGTCTTAGAGAAACATGTTTTAAACTCGGAAAACATAGCAGCTCTCAACCCCATAATTATGATTGATGGCTCAGCAGTGAGCGCAGTATATCTATTAGGTAATGCTAGTCCCCCATTAAAACTAACAACTAGTTGAGCTTGATTAACATAATCAGACAACGCCAAGCGAGGCTTCTTTTTACAGACTGTTAACATAAGAAATATTTAATCGAATTAACAGCTAACCTTGACTGTTATCTTAACATTAACATAGAAATTTCAGAAATGTTGCAAATGAAGAACAAAAGTTGCAAGACATTAAAGACAACTTTGTAAATTTGTAGACAGAATTTGATGTATTACATAAACTATTTCTATTTGTGTTAAGAATTTTCTTCGTCATCTTGAACTATAAGTGAAAAAGCGAGCAATTGATTGCGACTCATTGAGCTCATCTGTGTCTCAGTTCAGCAATTGTCGACTCCCCTTTGCCTCAACTACCCCCATTCCCCTTTGCATCCATCTTGAATGGCAGCTCTTTGATGTGTGTGTGTGTCTGTGCTTGTTGTGTGTGCGTGTGTGTTGGGTGTTGTTTGCTTGTGGCAATCATTTATTAACGAACTTCACTTTGTGTGCAACTTACCCGACATGACTGCAACTGCCGTTGTTGTTGTTGCTGGGGCACCCTCTGCAGCCTCAGTGGCAGCTGCCAGGCTGCTCAAAGCACTTAACCCCACATCGATAGTGGATGTGGCTGCTGCGGAGGGAGCTGCTGCCGCAGAGATTTCGCTGATTTGCTGAGTGGGCGTTGCCGATGATTCTCTGGTTGCCAGCGGTGCCATTGGCAGATTGGCCAACACTGCGGCTGCTGACATTGGCGTTGGTGTCGTCGTCACCCTGGTGGTATCGAAGACATCGTGTTGCTGCTGCAACTCATGCAGCCAACTATCATCGTCATCCGGCTGCAGTGTGGCCGGTGATCCACTGGCTCCAGGTGCCGGCGATATCAGTGTGGACATCGCATCCAGCCCGGCAACACTCTCGGGTGTCTTGCTCAGCTGCTGCTTGTGACGTGTGCGTCCCGATTCCGGTGGCGGTGGCAGAATATTATACGACGGCACATAAATGAAGGAGTCCCCAAACGGATCATCCTCACTGGCCGACTTGGCCAGTGGTGCACCTGGATGTGAGGTTGCCGGATCATTGGGCGTTATGCGCTCCATTTGACTAATGCCACGCTGCAGCGACGTCAGCTCTTGCTCCAAATCCACAAGGTCTGCGACGGATTCGGGCGAGATCTGAAAGTAGCAGGAAGTTATTATTTTTTATTATATTTTATTTATTATTATTAGTTATTTTTAGAGGCGAATCATTTGAGAGGGCTGCTGACTGGGATCATATGAAACATAAAAAGGTCTCCAGATAGGCATTTGGAGAGATGGACATGATTAAAGGGAGGAGAGAAAAAGTCTTACTCTGCATAATCATAGATATCGTATCTAATCTTAGATATTTACTCCAACATAAAGAACGTAAACAGTTATTCAGATCAATAGATAAAAATAGGAAGAGGCAGGAGAGATCTTCCTCTGCTTATTATATAATCTTGTGTAAATCTACTCTCTAATTATATATGTTTTATCTTATTTTAGATATTTACTCTAACGATAAATTTAATCAACGAATGAACGGATAACATTACTAAATAGGAGAGCGAAATCTTTCTCTGCTGATTGCATAATCATGTATAATTATCCCCTTTTATATATATCCTGACTAGGAGTTGAAATATAATCAGCTGGGCATAATCTTAGAGATCTACTCTAATCTTCTCGTATCTTAAAGATCTACTCTAAAAACTGATCGGTTTTGGGAGATAGTAAAAATGTGGATGGACTTCTATATATCCCCATTATATATGTATTCAGTTTACTCCCATTTTTACCTCCTTGCCTGCCACGCCCGCTACTCGCGACACATCCAGATTGACGCCGAGTCGCGTGAGTCCCACGCCATTCGAGGAGGATGCACCGAGCATGCTGAGATTAGCCGCTGCAGCATGGGCTGCTGAGGAAGAGGCGCTGCCGGAGGTGCCGGAGGCAAGATCACCGTGTGCGCTCTTCAGCGAGGACAGGGTGGCCAGCTGGCTGGCATGATCGTGGAGAGCCTTGCCTTGGATCTGCTGGCGTGCCATCTCGATCTCCTTCTTCTTCAGCTCGAAGACGACCTGGAAGAGATCGCGCATGGCCAGCACCACCTGGCTGGCCGCCTTGTCCGTCTTGATGCCAAAAAACCGATGCCCACTATCTGGTGACCCAAATATATAGCCAAATGCACGCGAATCCGTCATGTCCTGGGCAATGAACGAGATCTTGTGCACCGGATGATGATACAGGGAATCGCTGGTCTTCTCGTCGCGCAATCGCAGTCCATCAATGGTCACATGGATGATGATGCGCTGCTTGTGCTCGCCGGCGGCTCTTATGGCCATCTTCAGATCCTGCAACGCCTCCTGGCACATGCGATCCCCGCGCGCCTCCCCCACCTCCAGTATGCCAATCAGCTTGGCCTTGAACTGGACGCCATCGCCAAAGAAGCGGCCGGGATCATTGCGATCTGCAAAAAGAATTTGAAAATCAATATTTCAACATTATACATATGCCAAAAATCTATATTTGGAATTCTCATATCTGTATCTATATTGGAAAAACCAAACAATTCAAAACAATTGACGATATGTTTTTTTCTTTTGTTTTGTTTTGTTTTCTTTTTGTCTTCTTTATGCTAACGTTTTGCGTAATTTGTTTCCTCGGCGCCAGTGTTGCCAATGCCAAAAGTTTGTGCCAACGAAAGATTTGAAGTTGCCTGCAGCTTGGAGACCAAAGATTTGACCATTTTTCCAACAGTGAATAAAACTGATCTCAGAACATGCTGTATTCAAAAGTAGCTCTGTGTGTGTGTGTGTGTGTGTTTGTGTGTGTATGTGTTGTGTATGTGTTGTGTGTGTTGTGTATGACATTCAGAGCATTTCCAGCAGTGAGCAGAAGAAAGGCACACAATGCGCAAACGGGCAAACAATAATAACAAATAAAACGATTTGCACGACGTATTTTCTGTTGTACTTTAATTAAAAAAAAAAAAAACACCAACAACAACCAAAAATGAAAAAAAAACAACAAACTCGCGGAAAATAGCAGAAAAAGCAACCGCTTCGAAGCGCGCTCAGTGAATGAATGACGACAGCGACGACAAACAAAACAGCAAATGCTGCTCTGCGCTGCTCTCTCTCAATGCGTTGCGTTGCGTTGCGATGCTGCTCTCTCTCTATCTCTCTCTCTGGTGGGAGTGGGCCTCAGCCGCAGAGCAAACAAAAAGGCAAGCACACACACAGTTAAACACACACGCAGACAGCACTGGAATTTCACGATTATTTTGCGTTAACAATAAAATGTGAGTGAGAGAGAAAGAGAGAGCGCTGCTGTTGCTGTTGTTATTTGCTAAAACCTTAAGCAGCAGCTGCACCACCTGCCGACAACAGCAGCGACGCCGCGACGCCGGCGCAGCAGCTGTCAGTTAAACGATCTAGCAACGATCAAACACGTTCGTCATGCAATCCCTGGCAGCGTTGCAGTGCTATCGAAAGAAAAATATTGTGCAATCAATGGTTGTACTTACATTTACAAGGACTCGTTTTTTTGCGCAGCGTTTGCATTGTTGCTATTATGAACGGATTGGCATTCGTATAACGTCGAATGGCTGCGCCTCTGCTTTGCTGCCTCTGAACAAGGGCAGCTTCAACCAAAATGGGGAGGAAGGTTGTATCGTATTTTTAAACCGGTTGCAGTGCACAGCGACACAGGGTGGTTACCAACAACTCTACTACTTCTACAGCATGCACCGTTGTTGTCCTTCCACGTTGACTTTTGACATTTGAGCGTAAGCGTTGAATCTTTATTTACACACCTTCCAGCTGCTTTTCTCAATCTCTTTCTTGGGTGCTTATTTACTATAACGGTTGTAGCTTCTCTCACTTTTGTTGTTGTTGTTGTTGTGATCGATATCAGCCGGCGGCATTACAAATACTCACGTCAAGATTATCGATTTTTCAATCGGCGAATGTATGTATGTGCGTGTCTATTTATTTTGCCTACTTTTTGGCGTCTTGAATCACACGAAGCGACGCCTTTTAGTATGCTGCATTCTTACGTCGCACAGCTTCAGCCTTGAATAATCAATAAGCTGCGTACCTTCTTTTTTTTGCTTGTTTTTTTAATTTTATATTTTCGTTATTTATATTTGTTAGCTTATTTTAGTGCTTGGCCATGCAAAAAAAAAAGGATGCTTTTCTGCTAGACAATTGAGTATTTAATCGTGCAATTGAAAATTTAATTTATTGCTTTTAATTAACGTTAAATTTCGTCGTCGACTTTGCACAGAATACTTGTGACACTATTAGCTGCCTTTGGTCGTTTATTTAGCTTTTTAAATGTGCGATTTGAGTGGATTTTATGCTTATTTGTATATACGCCCACAAAGCACGAAATGGACACAAAAAAAACTCCAAGGATACCAAAAAGTGGGGTGTTTTTTATTGGCCAAGCACACCCTGTGCATGCCGGCATATGTGCTATCGATAGCAATGTAATGCTTTGCAACACTGTACGATGATTAACATCACCATTTGAGCATAACATGCGCCCAAGCCCCAACACGTCTTAACACAGTCTATGGTGTGTGTCATTATTGTTGTTGTTACCGCGGAGTACGGACGTTTCTATGCGGGTGCGCAGCGTGTACTAAAAATTGTTTCATTCAACCAAAGTCAACTCAAATAATTCGTAAAAATACGCGTTGCCATCAATTGTTGTTGTTGCATACAAGCAACAGCATTCGTTGCCTGTGTGTGTGTTTTCCTTGCTCCCAGTTGGATTGGTGCGCGCGTCGCTTAAAATCGGATTCGTCGCTAAACAGTTGAATATTTAAAAGTTTTGCCCGCTTTGCAATTGGTGAAAAAAAGTGTTTGTGTGTGTGTTGAAAAAGGCGACAGCAAACCAGTTATATATATAGATTTATTCAAATCTTAGCAGCCTTGAAGTGTTTGTTTAATGTTTAAATCGGCCACACACATTTCAACCCAACAATAATTTCAAATTCTTAAGCTGTTTTAGGCTGCCGATCGCTATGCAAAATTATTAAAATTCGACTGTTTCAAAGTGTTGCAAAATTCCAAATATTACAAATAAAAGTCTGTGTGTGTGTCCCTAATCCCCAAGCAAAAGAAGAAGCAGAGCAGAATCAGCAACAGCAGCAAAATGAATAAAACCTGTGCGCGTTGCCAGAAGGTGGTTTATCCCATCGAGGAGCTCAAATGTCTGGACAAGGTGAGTTTAACAAACTTTTATATGAATAACTTTTCCACTATAAGCCAAAATTATGCAGCATTTGTTGTGTGTATTGGGATCTCTTTTTTCAATTTTGTTGCTCCTTTGTTTTATGCCGCTGCTTCGCACTTGTTGTATGCGCGCGTTAGAGCGAGACGCCTATCTAGCCTACGCTCTCCCTCTCTCTTTCTCCCTCTCGTTCGCATTGATCATGCGTAGCGTTTGCTCTCGTCCCTTGTTTGTTGTTTCTCCCTCTCTCTGTGTTTATTATCCTACGCAATTCGTGGCCTGTCTTTGTTGTTGTGGGCGCTTTGTTTCTTTTTTTTTTAATAATTGCTTGCATTAAAAAAAAGTCGTTCGGCTTGTTTGTCGTTGCGACTGCGCAGCTTTAATTTGCTTCTTGGAATTCAGTTCAACTAAATAACGGCACACAAATTTCATACGTCTGCGTGTGTTGTGTGTGTGGGTGTTTGCTGCTCGCAACAAATTTTTAAATTTTCGCCACACTCAGGAAATTGAAAATTGCTTTTAATTTGCGTCGCCGTTGCTTCCGTTCCGTTATTCTGCCTTCTGCTTCTACTCTCTTCTTTTGTGTGCGCCAATTTGCGTAAATTTTGCGTATGGCAGCTGTGACGCTGACGTCGACGTCGAAACTTACAGCGCAGCTTTTGATCTCAATAATTTTATACGTAAAAAAAAGCACAACAAGCAATCCGTTGACTGACCTTGAGCGGCATATTTTCGATACCAGTTTCGCATTCGCTCTCGCTCTCACACATACGCATTTGCTCACTCACACACAGATGCGTTGTCGCTTTCTTCTTGTGCTTATTGGTTTATGCTTAATTCCAGTTTATTTTTATTGACCGTCCTTTTGTCTGAGCTGAGCTTTTGCTTTTGTTTGTTTTTCGTTTATTTATTTTTTTGCTGTCATTCGCAATTGTATCTATTTCTGAGCAGAGCTGAAGCCCAACTCAAGCATTTTTTTTACTAAAAATAGTTTAGGTAGGTGTAAATGTATATATATATATATATATATATATGTGTGTGTGTGTGTGAATATATGTTAAACACAGACAGATAACTGCGTCTGCTGAGAGAGACAAACAAACATTGAGACAATTCCATTATTCCAACACTCGTCAAATTCCATTGGGAAAGTCTTGTTGTAATCAGCTTCAACTATCAGCATACATGCCACACACACACACGCACACATACGTGCTCAACATCACTTCCAATGCCTCCCTCCACCTTCTGCACACGTCTGCGTGTTTTAAGCGTTTGTCTAATTATAGTCAAGATGCTCTCTCTCTCTCTCTCTCTTGCTCGCTCTTCCTCTTGCTCTGTTTAAATTTAGCTGTGGAGTAATGGAAACTATTTAAAGTCTACGAAATGTGGAAGTCAGTTATAAAATATGCAAAATGCGCCTATTGGAAACTTGGAAGTTGAAACTTGGGAATACAAACTGAAAGATTTGACAACAAACAAGAAGCAGAAGCATTGGTTTAATGCAACATTTTTATTTTGTTTTCTTTATTTTTGCTGATTATTAGATTATGACTACTGCATACTGATTATTATTACTATTATTAACAATTCAATATTTCATAAGAATATAGATAACAAAAACTGATTCATTGACCAACAAAGCATGACTATTATTTATCAAAGAATGAAAATTGTTTTGCGAGAAAAACTGTAATTTAATGACGCATCTTTGTTTTTATTTTTTGCATGAGAATTTCACAACAATTTAAATTCCATTGGAATTCAATGGAAATGAAAAACTAACTTTTGCTGTGCATATCGAGAATCTGAATCTAAAAGATAACTGTTTATTTGTTATTTAAATGCGACTTTTCAGCCAAGTGACGAGTGCACAACTTTTGTTGTTGAAATCTATCCAGATATAGAAATCGATATATTCGTCGTGACAGGGGCAATAAACGGGCATTTTATACCAATTATCTTTATGTGCACACTGGAAAACTTTGTCTTGTGTTAATGTGAGCGCAATACTTTTTTGGAACAATGCCGTTAATGCAGCGCAGCACGCGTCGCTGCCGGCGCTTTGTTAATCGATTTTTGATAGTAAAACTTGATTCAACTTGTCGCCGTTGACGTCGATGTCGCCGTCGTTGCAGCTGTTAGCTGCTGCTGTTTGCTGCTGTTGCCAATTTCCTTTTATTTATCTGACGTTTTTTTATTTGGCAAATTCACGAATGTGCGAGTTTTGTTGTTGTTGGCTGAGACGACGATTATTTTATGGTCGCTCGCAAGCAACGAAAGTAAATGACCTCTTTGTGTTGTTGTCAGCCCGGAAGCAGCGAGCGCTTTACATTTTTTCTTCTTTTTTTGGCCAATTCGTGCAGCGGAGCACGAGTCGACAGTTAGCTAAAACATTGGTTAGAGGGGGGAGGGGAGGGGAGAGGGACAGTCAACCAAGCGAAGCGTCAAATCCAAGCATCGTCCTCGCATTTGCAACTCCGTTTGGCACTTTTAACGGCCGCCTGGAAATGCATATCTCTTCTTGCTGTTGTTGTCGCTGTCGTGGCACACTTTTTGGCCTGTCGCTTTATTTGAATGTTTTAATTTTTGCAACGACGACGACAAATCCACAGCCATCTCATGACAAATGACTTTAGCGACAAACTTCAAGCAAATAAAAAAGACAAATAACAGTTTGCGATTTTAGTTTCTGTCACTGTGATTAGTTTTTTTTTTTTTTTTTGATATGGGAAAGAGCTCGATTTTTATGGAATATGAAAGATAAATTACTGTCTTAAAGCTGAGTGAATAAATAAAAGCAAGCGATCTTTGCAGCGTTGCCAGATCTGATTAAAGTAATTTGTAATAATTCTACTCCTTGAAACTTTAACTCTTTCTGAATCTGAGCTTTAGTTTAGCAAATAATACATTATATTAAATTGTTGCACGTTAGCTGAGCTAACACGTATATTAAGCATGTAATTTAAGTTTACCTTAATTGGTATTTTGTGTATTTGTCATTCATTCATTTGCAGCTTAAACTAAATTAACTTTGTGCTTTTGGCTTTTTTGGACTTATGGTTTTTAACTCGCGTTAAACGCAGCTAAGACGTATATTAAATATACAATTTATTTATTGCGTATTTTTCATTCATTCATTTTCATCTTTTTATTCATTCTGTTTAGCCAAATCAAAACTTTTTTTTGGCACGTGCTTTTCAACTCATCTTAAGTCAAATGGCAATGTACAATTTATTATCGTGACACGACACGACACTGAAACTCAAGAATTGCTTTGGTTGCGGGGCGACACTTGAAAATTGTTTCCGCTTTCGAACTTTACAGCAGCAGCAAGAAAAAGAAGCTGAAGAAGAATAATGCATTGCTCTTGTTGGCAGCGACAAAATAACAACAATAAAAACAACAACAGTCACACACAATGACTGCGACAATAGTTTTTATTTATTTTATCGTCCACTCTTTACTAAGCTCTCCTCGACTCGACGACTCTCTCTCAAAGGCGAAGTTCACTTTTGCATGACAATCCATTTCTGAGTGCTGTCGTTCTCCACCACTCGTTGCCAGAGGGCGCTGCAATATTCCATAAACAATTCAGGCATGAAAATAAAAGTGGTCAAACGGCGATAGCGTAAAGTTGACGTCGCTGACGCCGACTTTGACTTATCGCTGGTTTGCATCTGCTTATCTTCAATTTCCTTTCCTTTCGCACACATCATGTTTGCATTTGTCTCTTTCTCGTGCTTTTGTCTGCTGCTGCTGCTGTGAGAACTTTTTGCGGCTTATGCAATTTTGGTATTGTTTCTCAGCTTTTACCGTAATATTTGCTGCCGCCTTGCTTTGTTTTTTTTCTTTCATCTTTCAAAGCTCACTTTCCAAAGCATTTTGAGCTCATCAGTTATGCTCCAATATGTTTGTATCTTCTTCTTGGGGTTTTACTTTGCATCACTAATTAGTTGGCATTTGTGAAACTACTTTTGTGGCCAAATTTTAGCCTGACAAAACGAAAAAAAGGCAATTTCGGCTTAGGCTGCCAAAAGCACAATAATTGTTTTCTAAAACGAAGTTTGTGTACTCTTTACTAACAGTTGGTAAATTGGTAACAATTAACTTGTTTTGAGGGCTGTCATGCGAAATTTCCATTAGATTTATTTGTTTCTTGAGCAAAATGTGAAATAAAATATACATTTTGTGCAAAGCAGTTGAAGACAGCATTGAAAATAACAATGCCATTGGCATTCAAAGATAATAGCACCACTTCCACAATTTTACTTACGAATGAAAAAAGCAAAACAATCCTTTTGCAATGTATTTTTGTTGTTTCAGTAACTTTTACTGACCACTTGCTTCTATTTTATTCATTAATTTTCTTCCTTTTTCATAAAATTTAGTTTCTTGTGAGAGTTGTGCTATTATTTTTTCGCCACTGTATGAATTGGAAATATACCACACACACACACACATATGCATGTGCACATTTTTTGAGCATTGCCAGCCAAATTTTCTATCTACTTATTTTTTCTGTTTTGTACTTCTCTTTTTTATTTTTTGCGTTGCCGACTTCTTTGCTTGGATTTGTTTTGCTTTGCTTGTCCCAATTTTTGCATTGAAAATGTGTATTAAAAATGAAAAAAAAAGAAAGAATGCCCAAAACAAGAAGTCGAAGTTGAAATTGCTGCTGAGCAAAAGCTTTGGGGCCACAAAAATTGTTTGGGCAGCAGCCGCAGTTATTATTTGCCTTGGGATTTTGGGGGCTTTCCCTCAATTATAAATACTGCCCATTGTTGTTATATTTGTTGTTGCACACATTTTTGTTGTAGTCGGAGTTTGACTAATGATCAAAAATGATGAAGAGTTGTGTTTGTCTCTAATACATATTTTGGCTACCTGTTTGACTGTCTGCCTGTCTTTCTGTTTCCGGCCATTGATATGTGGGTCAGTTTGGTTCAGTTCAGTTTACACAAGGCGCCTCTTTTTCTCTTCGTCAATGC